TGCCCTAATAAATATTGTAGGTTCCACCGTCAAATAGGGCACGGTACAGACGAGTGCATACTTCTCAAGCGCCAGATTGGGGATCTCATCCAGCGAGGATACCTCGGGCAGTTTGTGAAGAGACAAGGGTAGGGGCGGGGTTCTAGCAACGTATTGAAGAAGGGCAGTGGCTTCGAGCAATCTTCCCCAGTGTCACGCAAGAGATAACTTGGTCAACTCACCGAAGAGGAGGAAAAGGAGTTAGATAATCCCCACCCCAAGAAGAAGCAGGTCATTCACGTCATGTTTGGAGGACTAGAAGGCCGACACACACCAGTATAAAGGAAGAGGTTGGCAAGAAGCCTCTATGTGGGCGAGGTCGTACAACCTTCGCAAGAGAAGAGGCCGGGGATGGAACCCATTACTTTCATCAGCGGCGACCTCCTAGATGGTCGGTCCCCTACCCCCCCCCCCCCCCCCCCCCCGAGATGCCCAAGTAGTCAAGATTGAAATCAACAATGAGATTGTCCACAGGGTACTAGTTGACACATGCAGCTCGGTAAAAGTAATGTATTATGACACCTTCATCCAACTAGGGTTGTCAAGGAAACAGCTAGGGCAGGTAAGGACCCATATATCCGGATTCACGGGAGACTCCATTGAGACGAAAGGCTCAATCAATCTCGAGGTGGAGATAGATACACCACCCCATGTCAAGAGGTGGAAGGTGGAGTTCGTGGTTTTAAAGATCAATTATGCCCACGAGGCCATAACATTATACTAGGTCGACCCACTCTAGAGGACCTCAGGTGCTTGATCTCCATAGAACACATGTGCCTCAAGTTTCCAGCCCCAACAGGAGTCGGAGTTGCTCGAGGGGGACCAGAAGGTTAGCCGGAGCTACTACCTACGAGCATGTCGCCAAATAGGAAAGCGAGACCTCCATGTCCATACCATAACTAAAAAGGGCATTGTAGGAGGAAGAAGGCCGACCACGGGGCAAGCCCGTGGTGGAAACCGAGGAGGTCGTCTTGGACCTTAGCCACCCCGATTGCGTGGTGAAGGTAGGAACCGGCCTCTCGCCCGAGCTCCGAGCTCGGATTCTAGAGATCATCAGGAGCTACAAGAAAGTATTTACCGCCACATTAGCTTTGAGGTAATAATGTAATATAACTAATAGAATAATATTCCATATATTATTATCATTATTATCTGTTAAGGGGGATGCAGTCAAGTAAGAGAGAGTCAGACCAATAAACTAGGAAGTTTATATGGCCTAGATATTAGCGGAAGTTGCAACTGATGGCCTTATATAAAGGTGTAGGGATCAGACAAAGGGGGTAGCTCATTCAGTCATAACTAATATTTCTTCTATGTATTTCTTCCCCATTCACTCTATAGCCATGGCTGCTTATGTATATCCTATAAATATAATAAAGAATTTCCTAAAAATGTCCGTGGTTTTTACTGTTTTTGTTTACACGTTAAATCTTTGTGTCTTGCTTCTTTATTAATTCCATGCAATCACCTTTGATGGGGACATGGGACCCCAAGGGGCTTATTTTATTAGATAAGTCTTGACCCAAGTCTTGACCCGGGTGGCGGCCAAGGGGCCGGACACGTGCCTTGGGGAGCGCCTGGTGAGGCACGGAGCGTGATGGTGCGCACCCCTTTGCTCCCCCACTTGCGTGTCTTTCCCATTACACCTCGGGTTGCTCGTGAGAAGTTCGTGCACGTGGCGGTAGGAGGCTGGATTGGGAGGTTGAAGCGGTTGAAGGAGAAGACAACGTGAGATGCGTGTCTGGTTGGATTTGAAGGGGGCTGGATGCCGTACACGTAGAGGGTGCAGGGGGGTTCTCTAATAGTATAAGAGGGGGGGGGGGGTCTGGTCCATGTAAAGACATCCCTCAAGACAAGATCTCCTCACTAGTCAGGTGGTCTGGGTCTTGCCCTCCCTAGTCCCTATTGGTACACCTAGGTTCGAGTCTTGGTGGTAACACATTTGACTTATTTTATTCTATTTATTTATTAGTCCATTGGCTTATTTATTTATTTATTTATTTATTATTTGGGCCACCATTTTGGACCGATATTTTGGGCTTTGTACATATTCTTTTGGGCTTCACACCCTAAGTAATAATATTACTATTTCACCCCCCCCCCCCCCCCCCCCCATTTCTATATTATGTGTACCCCGTTTATGGTGGACCCGGTCCCGATAAAACCATCAACCTTATATCATTCTTCTTTTCTTATGGAGAAATCTAATTTCTCCATCAACAACATTACCAGGTAATCTCATAACTTTAACCAAACAATGACACGTGGTAATATAACATTACCAGGCTCATATTACCTAGGTAAGGTAATCTAAAATTACCTGAACCAAACGCCCACTTAGTACAAAAAGAACAATTGGGGTTGTTTTTAGGAGAGAGATGATAGGATCGATCTTCGGCTGATACCAGATGAGAGAGAAGATTAATTCCAATTGAAACAGAATACGGATTACAGAGAGTATATCCAACTGAACCTCTAAACACTCCTAAGAGATAGGCTATAATATAAAGACTAAGTCTAATACCACACACTACTACCATAGACTATACAATATTAATTACAATAATAATAGTAACACTCACAATACCTTGATCACCTGAACAATGCTAGATACCTCTCATATTTTTTCTCTTGAATCATCACCCCTCATGATGTGACTTTAGTTAATTGGCTACTAAATTATCTTTTTAAATAGTAGTGGGTTAGCCCATTCATGGGGACCTAATGAATGAAAGCCACATAGGAGGGGAAATATGCGAGCGAAAATTCAGGAAGGATAAGAAACATTTTTTTATATTTAATTTATAGTAATGATTTATGCCCAAAATACCAAAAATTGATTAAATTATAGTAATGATTTAGACTTAAAATAATGATAGTGGTTAATAAATAATAACTTTATCCATGAATTATACTTAAAATAATGGCAATAACTTATGCTCAAAATTTTGAAATGATTTATGCTCAAAATATATAAAAATAACTAAAATTATAGTAATGAGTTATGCTCAAAATATTGGTAAATATGTTTGCATGAGCTTAGCTCACTGGTTTAGTATACAATATTTGGGGGAAGAGCCCAATGTTCAAAACTCGACAACAACACTATGTGGATGATTTGTGCACATCAACATTTGAGTTTGTTTACTGAGCCAGAGTTTATGCTCAAAATAATAGTAACGTTTTTATAATTTGTGTTTTTAATATAGTTTGGCTTTGCCAAATATAAGCATTGTTAAATTTGATGTCACTGTACTATTAGTTGTAATGATTTCACATTACCAAATTTAACAATACAATATCTTTTTTGAATAAGTGGAGAAGTCAGCTGGTGATTTTCATGTGCATTTCGCATCATCGCTTTTGAAACATCTGCATTATAATCGGCAAGTAAGTTTAAGAGCTCAACAAAGTTTCCTTGATTATTTTGTTATGTAAACTTACGTACGTTGCTACTAAATAACAAAATCTCAGAAAAGTTTTATGTAAGTTGAGATGGCCGAGTTGGTCCAAGGCGCCAGATTAAGGTTCTGGTCTGAAAGGGCGTGGGTTCAAATCCCACTTTCAACAATCCTTTTTACATTCACTTCTGGACAACCCTGACTATATGTCTCAAAAGTAGATTAAATTAAACTGAACCACAAAAAACATTTATCATGTCAGCAACATTCCCTTATAAATAATTTCGTATCAGGCTTATGCATTACTCATGTTAAAAAAAAAAAAAATCGTATCAAAGATATTTTTTAACAATCATATATAGGTTAGTTCTTCACAACTTCAATCACTAAGTGTAAAAAATTCAATTCAATTAATAGCACCCAGAAATGCAATGAACAATGTTTAAATAAAATACTATCATAAGCAAATTAAAGATAATATGCCACTCAATTTATCTTAACGTTTTACTATACGAAATCCTAAATTTTATTTTATTAATTAAACTCTCTAACTTTTCAATTCGGCAAAGTTTTGAATTGTGTTAATCATTCTCCATAGTCAAACTTACTTTTATTTCTTTTTAGTTGGAAAATTGAACATTTAAAATTGACATCCTAAATTACGATTAAAGGTTGATGCTAGTATTATTTTATTTTATTTTTTTGAAAGCCAACAACAAAACATATTATTAATAAACGGAACCGCATATTACATCAGAAAGGAAACGAGAAATGGAATCATCAAATGCAACCACTTCCACCCGATATTACATAAAGCCTGTTTAGCCACAATATGAGCCAACATATTACTACCACGCTTAACAAAATTAAAACTAACAACAGGCAAATGCTCCAACTGAGTACGAATATCATCAATAATAGCCCCAAAAGGAGTAATATTTATCCTATTATTCACACCTCGTGTAATCACTTGAGCATCTATTTCAAAAATAATTTGCTACCCACCTTTATGCTTAAGCCAACTCAAGGCCTCCCGGGCACCAATAGCACCGCTTCTCGAACCAAAAAGAGCCCAAGACGCATATAGACTTGATAACCCCCAACACCGTCCCCATCTCGTCACGAACCACCCAGCCAAACCCCATGCAACTTAATCACAAGGTATTAACTATTAACCATGTTATCTTTAATTACACTAATTTTAAAATATAGAGACTAAAATAAACTATTACCATTCATCAACTTCAGTTTCAAATTTGTAAAACAGTTTGCGATTCAAGTTTTCTGTAGCATTGCTAAAAAGTTTGTTTTTATGTCTGACGGTAAAGAATGTATTACCATTCTAACGATATGTATTGTAATCGGTTCTGCTTATGATTAATGAATTAGCGTTTCATTTAAAAAAAAAAAACTATTTTGAAAAAAGGTAATTGCCTATAACCTGATTGGCTCAGACAAAATTTGACAAACTAAAATTTATCACTTTAAAAAGTTCATCAAAATCTTAATTGAGAACCCCTAATTTTGCAAATCAAACAAATTGAAAAATACCCATTTGGCCATTTTACCTATTTGCAGCCCCTAATTCCGAATCTGAAGCACACTTCCCTTCCTCCATCGGAAAAAGTGTCGCCTGTACTGTTTTTCTCCGATCGGCCATTGACTCAGAGGACGAAGACGAATAAGAGGAAGCAACGGCCACCTACCACCATTGATTTCTGCATTGAGTCCTCCATTGATATTGCCGCTGCGCCACCTCTCACCGCCATATACGAGGAAGCAACGGCGACCAGGTTCTCTCTTTGCATGTGCGTATAAATATGGACAATTAGGCTCGTAGATGAGTTGTTCATGTTTTGATTTAATGTAATTTTTCTTCGTCTTTCTACGAAAATCATACTGCAGAAGGCTGTTGATTGATTGGTGGCAGCTAGACGTGGATAGCATATCGAACTTGGTGCTTATGATAAGGTTCTCAGTACTACCCTCTTCCCAAAAATTGCATTGATGATGTTATTTCAAGAAGTATCTGCTTTGCTTTTGATAGCTTTTCTGTTAACGTGGATATGAGCGGTTTGATATGTTATATATATTGGTGATCATAAGCTAAAGTTTAAATAACTTGATATGTTATAAATGGCATTAGATCTTAATTAATAAATTTAATGCTATTTGCTTTGAAATACGGAAGAAAGATCTGGCAATGAATCTTAGATAGTCTATACAGATGCTTTTACCACAACCTGCTTATTTTATTTAATTCATTTATTTTCTTTAAATTTTTTGTTGGAGTTTTTGAGCTGGATGCTGGAATGAGGCCCGTATTTATTTGAGTATTAGGCTAGTTAATCTGATAATAACTTCTGAATCTTAAGAGAGATGTTTAGTGAAAGATTGGTGGTGAACTCTCTGTGTAGTCTTCACCAATTGTTCATATTTCATTTTTGTTCATCTCTTGTAAGAATATAGTTCACTAGTTCATATTGCTTATATATTCTATACCTGGTGAAAATATAGTTCACTACTTAATCTTCTCTCCCAAACAAAGGTACAAGGAGAACACGTTTTTTCAGTTTCTTAACAGAATTTTGTATTATTTATTTATTGTTTGTTTGTTTAAGTTGAGATGCTATGTTTTACACTGCAGCATAACTAGTTTCTGTATTTTGGCTAAGATAATGCTTTGGAAATGCGGATGTGAAGTTTCACCACGACTGACTCTCTTTGTATACTTAAGGCTGAACCATGCATTGTGGAGTTTTAAAGTATTTCCCACTTAGCAGGAGTTCTTGGGCTTGTGCTTAGTTCAATTCCTTTGTTTTATTAGAGATCTAGATTGTTTTGGAGGATGGAGAAGAGAGGGAGGAGGGAGGAGGAGGAGGAAATCTCTCTCTTCTTCTATTGTGTTTTGTGCATTGAGAAACATATGCAAGTAATATTAATTTGATTTTACAAGTAATTGGAGAATGAATGATTATTTTTATTAAGGTGATTGTACAATTCTCTATTTAATTAACAATCTGTATTCTAATTGGTGATGTATAAGATAGATGAAATGTAGGCTTCTTGTTTTATATTAAAACCTTTTTCTCCATCTATAGATAAGAGTGTTATGATAAGGGAATCTTGTTATTTTCTTGATTTTATTATGCATGAACGATTAATCGGGATTTACAAAGTTTGCTTTAACATTTTGACAATTACTCCTTTACAAGGGTGGGTGTTATGGATTAATGAACTGGCATTTTTAAAATTCTTTAATTCTTGCTTCTCCAGGATAAAGCAACTGAATCATCCTTGAAGAATAATACAACTTCAGCTTCTCCATTGAACTTGGCTGCATATTCTCAAGCCGTTAATCATTGTGACTGCAGTAACTGCATGAATTCTTGAGGTATTGGGATCCATGGATACTCCTGTGAAATCCTTGAATCCCAACAAACATCTCAAGGAACAGTACGATCTCTCTCTCTTTCTACATTACACAATATATATATGTATATGCTTGCATTAATCTGTAATGCATTAACATTGAAATTGAAAATTTAGATTTTTGAATGATGCAATCAGGTTTGTTAGCAACCTCAGCGGGTCTTCTATGCTCGAATTGTTTTCTCTCACGGCAGTTCTCTCTGTAAGTAAGAGACATGTGGCTTAAATTAAACAAATTTGTAAATCTTGTGGCTTTTGCATAATTGTCAGTATCTCTATTAGGCTCTCATAGGTACTCATTTTGGGTTACAGATTGTGATACTCTTGCAACGTTCTTTTGGCTTCAATTCTCAAACTGGTAACAAAATGCACAATTTAGCTAAAATACTTTTACAGATTATTTTTTGTTTGTTTGTGTATATTCACAAATGAAGTAAGATGATAAATTTCTTCTGCTCAATTTTGATGTAACAATTATCCTAGTTGACTTTTTTGTGCTCAATCTAGAAATGGCAACTCTTTTCTTTTTGCAATTATGAGTTGCTTTATTGTGTCCATAACCCCTTTTAATTGTGAATTAGTTGAGCTTGAGGCGAAATGGACAATAGTTGGCTGCCTACTTGTATCCTTTTGATGTTGTAAGTTGTACTTATGGCCCGTTTGGTTCACGGAATAGGCCGGGAATGACATAGTATTCTCAGTAATAGGCTTATTTCGTTGTTTGGTAACGTTTCTATTACTGGGAATAATATTCCTGGTAATACCCTATTCCCCCATATAAGGTAATAGCTATTACCAGGGCCCCCCCTGGTATTAGGCTATTACTGAGTTCTCAGGAATAGCCTAAAATTTCTACTTCCTATTTTACCCCCCGTCACCAGCACCAGCACCCCACCACCCTTACCGCCGCCACCACCACCACCGCGGCCACCACCACGACCATCGCCGCCATCACCACTATCGCCGCCACCACCGTCGCCACCACCACCACCATCGCTACCAGCATTGCCACCACCGCCACTACCACCGCCACCGCCGTCGCCGTCGCCACCACCGTCGCCACAGCCACTACCACCGCCACCAGCACCACCACCCCACCAACACCACCAGCATCGCCACCACCGTCGCTACCACCACCACCGCTACCACCACCGTTGCCGCCACCACCACCACCACCAACACCGGCACCACTGCTGCTCTGCTGCTACCACCACCGCCGCCGCCACTACCACCATCAGCAACACCGCCACCATCGACACCACCACATATTTTTATAAGGGTATTTATGTCTTTTAAAACATATTTCATTTCTATTTCTTAAACCAACCAAACACGGTAATATAATTCCTAAAGTCTATTCTTTCCGCGAACCAAACAATAGAATACAATTCCTATTCTATTCCTTGCCTATTCCATTCCTTATGGAATAACATTCCTATTACCTCAAAATTCATTCCGTGAACCAAACGTGCTGTTAATGTATTGACGTTTTAGAAATTGTTTTCCCTCCAGAACAGTGGTTTTAAATACCTAGTAGATCTCTTACCCCTTTACCCTGACAAAAGAAATTGAATGCTTTTTATTTATTCTTTCTTTTCTTTTATCCTTTTAGATTGACAATTATAGTAGGTACAATTATTAACTATGAGCATAACAGTTAGATTTACTACTTCAAAAATTGAAGATTGCATGGAATTATTGTAGAAAGTCAAACCAGTAGATGTTGAAGATCTTGGTTCTTCATAGTTCATATTTCCAGGCGGGATGTTTTAAAGATGAATTGATCTAGAGTGGCAATCCAAGGAGAATTTGAGAAACATATTGGTTTCCAGTTACTTTAATAACTTGGCTTGGCAAAGCAGTATTGAGTTGTAGTTTTGACTTGGAAAGCTTATGAATGGCTTTTGAACATTAGATTCCCGAATGTTTGTGCAACCAGTGTTTCGTTTTGTCTAACTTACCACTAGGCACTTAGCATATTGGCAAGTGTTCAATTGTTTAGTTCTTCACTAGAAGTAATTTAGTTGTATTTATATAATTTTTTTTTTTTGTTTACTAAGGTGCTGATTCTGCAGAGGCTTTGTCAAAGAAGGATGAGAATGATAATGGTTTTTTACATACTAAGAACTTGGCCAAGTACATTGCTACACTTTCCCTGGATTTCCTCTACATAGTTGTTCCATTCATTTTATATACAACTGTAAGCATTCTCATTCTCTCATTACTGTTCTGAATAACCTCCCCTCGCTAAAAGAAAGGACAAAAAAAATGATAGTTCAAGAATAAAGAAGAGATTAACCAGGAGAGGATTGATGGTTTTCATTTGTTTTTTTGTTTTTTTTGTTTTTTTGGCAATTATTTTTTACTTGTGTTTGAACGGATCACTTTGTTTGTGGACTCTTTTGACTTGGATCACTAGTGTGTACACCACACCTAATAAGCATGATTGATGAGAATAGCTATCTTATACAGGTTCTAGCAGATTGGACTTATATAAATACAACTATTGTTGCCTTGTTGGTGCTGTTATGTATTTTGGCTGGAAGGTAATGATTAGTTTTCTTTGTATTATTTATTTATTTTTTATATTTGTCTTATTTTTCATTTTTTCCTGTGTTGAAAACATTAGTTTATCCCAAATATAGAGAATGCATTATGCACTGCACAAGCACTAAACAGGCTTACAGCTGTGTTGTTAATTCTAAATTAATTAATTTAATCTTGAATACAGATTTGGATCTTTTTTTCAGGAAGATGGGGTTCAATCTCATAGACAAAACATATCATCCTACAGGGTATCCACGGTAGGCACATTTTCTGATAATCTTTTCAGAGGTTTTATATTTTCTATAGAATCTTAGTCTCATTAAAGATGGTTACTGCAGGTGCTTCTTACATGCTTATGTATTCTGGCTGTTGACTTCAAAATATTTCCAAGAAGATATGCTAAAACAGAGACTTATGGGACTAGCTTGGTACGACCGTTCGACCATTCTAGTATCTTGTCCTTTTGTACTTATCAGAAAGTTCATCGCATATATAAGACTCAGTTTGTGCATTGACACATTCACACACATCTTTGTGTGTGTGTATATGTCAATATGTGTGTGTGTGTGTGTATATATATATATATATATTCATAATTGTCTTTTCCTTGTTGAGGCTGATTTAGACTTTGAAAATTGAATGGACATCTGAATAAGTTTAGAACCTGGCATTAAAAACTGAATTTTTCCTATGTAGCATCCTTTTAATTAACATTTACTGACAGATATACCTTTAGCTTGTCCCCTTTTTTCATTCCTCTCTGGATCTCAGTGATACCTTGTTTGGTTTCCTAGTCTTGTTATAAATAATTTGTCTTAGCATGTCTTGCACCTAATTTATGTAATTCCTGGAGCTGTTGCTTTTGCTTTAAGTCAATTGTGTGTTGGAATATTACTAGGTTCTATTGGATTTATAAGTTAATTCTTTGTTATGAAAGCTCTATTATATTGAACTAAGCTATAAAATTTAGCTACATATAATATTGTCGATTGTGCCAGATGGATCTTGGTGTAGGCTCATTTGTATTGGCAAATTCATTGGTTTCACGACAGGCACGTGGTATCTCAACACTGTGAGTACTATAACATGTTTCATCTATTAGAGTAATCACTTATTTCATATGGAAAATGACTTTGAATTAATATATGCAGTTAATTTGTTATAAACTAAGATTGACTAGAATAACTCAACTGGGCTATAATGCACATGGGTCATACTATACTAAAAAAATTGAATCCAACCAATTAGCTAGTCTAACCCATGGCCTTATAAACCCATATATTCTCTTTTATTTTATCAATGTGGGACTCTTAACACTCCCCGTCATTTTGAATCTAACCGGTTGATCACTTGAAATTGGACTGGACCATTCCCTGAAATGAAAGCTCGGCCACCCAAGTGGACCAAACCAGAGGGCTTTGAAAGCTTGGATGCCACCAAAACCCATAATCGTGTAAATACAAAGTGGACCGAATAGGCTCTGATACTATCTTATAAACTAAGATTGGATTAGATTTACTCAACTGGGTTATAATGCACATGGGTCAAATCACACTAAAAAATTAAATCCAATCAATTAGCCTTATAAATTCATACTCTTAACGAATATAAAGGTGGGGGAAAATGGGAAATTGTACCATTGGTTCCTCAATTATTGGGATAATGGAGTAGTAGATTTCATTCCCTGATAATCATTCTTCCATTTTCAATCCACAAAATCTAGAAAATATAGCTTGTATTGTCTCTTGTAGTCCCCTGTACAACTGCACATGTGAAAGAATAAAAGGGATTTATTGTATTCAGTGTAAAGAACTATACAAATATTTACTATTTATATAGGAATTAACTATTAACCTAATGGGCCCAATTCCTAAAAGGGCGGGTTTGAACATAAACCAGGGATAGCTGGCATGGTATTTTGGAAAAAACAAGGGCCCTTGACATGAGAATATATAAGTATGTCACTGTGGTAAAAATAATGGCATACAAGGGATGATATCCACTATATTTTATGAATTTCTTGTTCTGAATGGAAGAAGAGTTAATTCCATCTTTTGTCCTAGATTTATAGGTGACAGTCCACTTTTAGTCATTTTTTATTGGAACATCCATCTCTGTTCTTAGTATTATGTGTCATGACTATTTTTGGTCCTCTATCAATAAAACAGTTTTAATGCCCGGTAAATACAAAGGTATTTCGGTCTTCAATTATGAGTTTTTTTTCAAAAAAATAAACATAAATGTATAGCGGAGTCAACTCACTTTGTATAAATATGAAAAAAATACCTTGGTATTTAACGACATTTCTACCATTTTGTTGACGGAGGACCAAAAATGGTCATGCCACAATAATACTATGACCAAATGTGGATGTTCTGATAAAAAAAGACTAAAAGTGGATTGCCACCTATAAATCTAGAACCAAAAATGAAATTAACTCATGGAAGAATAATTGTCAGGGGATGAAATCTACTATATCCCTAATTTTGAGGGACTAAATGTGCAATTTTCACATAAAGTTTTGAATGATTAATCTTTATTTTATTTTAATAACATGGTTTTTCATTGATCTTGATATCTTGTTCTGATACTTTCCCAGGAAGATAACTAATTCATTGCGTTCAACTAGCCCGCTAATATTTCTAGGCTTTGCCCGACTTATTTCTACATCGAGTGTGGACTATCAGGTATATTCTCCACATTCATTAGCATGGAGTTCTCTATTTGTGTCTTCGGTCTACAGACTTCAACTGATATAGGTTGGATGCTGTAATGCAGATTGCCAAGGGTTTGAGCACATGTGAGAGTTATGACATTTTGAAAAATTAAAAGTGATACCCTTCTATATGGATTTTCACCTTTTCATCAATTCAAGTTGCACTTATTGCACATTATCTATGCAATTTAGCTATACAGAATGGTTGGTATAGGCATTTACTTGCTCTGTGGTTTATATATTTGTTGTATTATATATAGTAATAATACCTAAACATATTCATCTTAGATATGATTCACTTTTACAATTATGTTTACTCAGGACACAAGTATGATTATTTGGTTCTTTAAACCTCCTTGGGTAATATTTTTAGAATTTTTACTAGTTGAGTTATTTTTTAATTTTTTTTTTTCAACTGGAATATTGTGGAAAATAATATCTATAAATGAGTTCATATGCTTTGTACTTTTGAACTTTGGCCAATTCATCCTAATTACTTGCCTATATTTCAGATACTTTATTTAAATGTGCTTAAAGTGATGACAAATATGTATTTTCAGATTAACTTCTGGTTTCACTTCCAGCACTTTAGCTTGTATTTTTCCCAGCTGCTTTTGCGTTGGGGCAGGGTAAATAATTGAAACCACTAAAAGCTCATTTTATTGTATGATCCCAGCCTTCATCTTCCTTTTAGGTTCATGTAGGGGAGTATGGAGTGCATTGGAATTTCTTTTTCACACTTGCTGGTGTGACAATCCTAACATCAATTATCAATGTTCCTCCGAATTACTGTGGGATACTGGGCTTACTCATTCTTCTAGGTATAATTTGGACTTTCCTTTTAATTTTTATTGATTGATTGCAGGATCAAATCTTGGAACACTAATGTTATTTTTGTATATTTTTTAGGGTACCAAGTTTTATTGTTACTTGGACTGAATGAGTATCTGCTTTCAGATAAAAGAGGAGCAGATCTAATTAGCCAGAACAAGGAAGGAATTTTCAGCATTTTTGGCAAGTACCATTCAACTATTTTTGCAATTCAATTGATTATCTTTTCTTCTCTCTCTCTCTCTAAACCCACTCCCTCTGTGTGAGTATTAAGGGATATATTAAGGAATCTGTAGTGGGGTCGCTCTTGAAAAAGATTTTCATGCAATGTATTGGTTGAAGGAGTATTCATTATAGAACATCAGTTATGTTTACTTTCTTATGAATGTTTCTATTTGTGATTAGTTTTAAGTTTATTTATTTATTTTTTTCTCCATCCCAGGTTATTGGAGTTTGTATCTTTTTGGGGTCCAACTAGGAAACTTTCTTTTCTTCGAGAACCATGCTAATTCTTCGTTGAGAACCAATAAATGGGCAAGAATTAGAGTTTGGGTTCTATCTCTCTTATTCTGGTGTGAATTTCATTTCTAGATCATTGTTCTCTAAATATTTGCTTATTTATTATTGATTGTTAATACTGCCATGCCTTTTTCTGTTGCTTCGTTGGCACCTTGGCTACACAGGTTCTTGACATACATTCTGGACAGGCACGTTGAGAGGGTTTCCCGCAGAATGGTACATTTGTTTTGTTTAGTACCTCTCTCTCTCTCTTTGAGGATTGGGGAAGTTACCTTACTTGCAAGGGCCTTTTGGCAACTAACAAAAAACATTTTGTGCAGTGCAATTTGGCCTATGTTACTTTAGTATTGGCTCAAAATCTACAGGTATGCTTTTTTAGCATTGCATTAAGAGGATATCTCGAATAGGATTGATATCAATCTTATATGTAACTAAACTTTGCTGCATGTTAGTCCCAATCTATATACTGTTGTTTACATGGAATTTATGTCCACAATTCTCCATTCAGCTAATGTTCTTGAAAACATTTTCACTGTGGTTACTCTGTCCCTCTATATTCATAATTGTTTCTTTATCCTATCAGCTGTTTAATGTTTTCTTGTTATGAATTTCTTTTTCTTTTTTTATTTCCTCCTTTGGACATTTTTATTTTTTTATTTTTGTACTTTGGTGAGTTGAACTTTTAACATGGATACAAGATATTATGCACTTTAGAATGAAACCAAGATTCAAAAACAAAAATATTCTTTCACTACTCTACTGGTTATAGTATACTTTTATCTCTGGTTTTCTAATGTGTAAAGCATTAAAGCTTAATTATTTTTCTAAAGCCTAAAGGAATAAGCAAAATATAAATTCATAAGGAATTCCAAGCTAATACACAACAAGAAGAAATGAAAATGGATAAATAAAATTGAGTTATTGAAAAAGTTTCCACAGGTTCATAGGAAGATGAATTTTCTTCCCATTAGATCTGGAATAATAGTTGTTTTCAAAGATTACTTAATCTTGAAATTCTTGATAACATAATGCAGTTTCATGTTTTGGGGAGAGTATGTATTATGGATTGTAAAACACATTTTAACTTATATAAGCAAATATCTATAAATAACTGGGAGTTGATTGTGGATTATTCATAATCATATCGTAAATTGTGAAATTATAATCATGATCTATAAATCATAAGCTTTTCCAAACAGGACCAATCTGTCCTTCAACCCTGCAATCGCCAGATTGCTCTGCCATGGGTGAGTTGCAAGACACCACATCTAATGCCATTGATGCCATCTTTGAGCTTTTGAAGTCCTTTGGCACACTGATGTAGCATTTAGTTGGATCATGTCAGAGTTGAGGATATAGATTTTGGAAATATTTGAAGTTACATCATTGGCAATGGTTAAACAAATAACTCAATGTGCATCTGAGAAGACTAAATTATGGTTAGAAATAGATAGATTACTTGAAACACATCTATTAAAATAATTTCCTCAATACATAACCACAGACAATTCTTATTTTCTTTGTTTGATCTTGAATGGTGTGCAGCTGAGTCTTAGAGAACACAATGCATTTCCTTCCAGGCTTCCACACATAAGCCCCCCCCCCCCCCCCCACCACCACCACCAAAAGAATAAAAAGGTCCAAAAATAGAGAGAAAAGAAACCCCAATTAGAGGGAGTGCTCTGTCATATACAATGTAATTATCAAATTAGAATCCCAGATCCTGCAGTAGTTAAATGGCACTTGTGACGATAAGAATGGCACCTTTCGGATGTAGTGATGTGTACCCATTTCAGTCAATTGCGTGATTGAATCCTCCTGGCAGTGATGTAGTGATGAGCTGTATGTGTTGATGATGCTTTGCAGGCTATAAAGTGAAAGTGAATTTCTGTTTGTCCATTTGGAACTCTTTGTTCTGTTCACAACCGATAAAATTGGTTTTGTTTGGCTTTTGGTCTTTGATAGTTTGATGATGGATCATGTTAGGTCTCATCTTTATTGATTATTACTATTGACTCTTCTACCCATTCAATATACAGTAGTTTTATTACTAACTGAAAGTAGTTATAATCTTTGCATGCCCTATACCTTGACCTGAAATCCTACATCTCTTCTTTTTAGGTTTTGGGGATAATCATGCTCTCTGATTACACACCCAGACACAAACTTTCTGCATTGGAGGAAGCGTTTAACCAAAACCTCCTTGCATCTTTTCTTCTGGTTAGGGAATCAAACTTCAATTCCACTCGTATAGTAATCCATACCTTTGAGCTCAAGTTAAAATTTCTCAATGCTTATTATCTCTACATGTGCAGGCTAATGTGCTCACTGGGCTCGTGAATCTATCTGTTGACACCCTGTTTGTTTCGTCCGTGTCAGCACTCGCAATCTTACACTTGTACGCATTCGTTTTATCTCTTGCAGTCGGATTTGCTAAATTTTATGGCATCAAGTTCAAGTTCTGGTAATGAAGCCTGTATTAACTATTAAGTACCACTCAGATTTCACTAACCTCGTAATATTTTAAAGACACCAGTTCCATTTATTTGCACTATATCAGTTTAATTTGCTTTCAAACTAAAATCTGTTCTTTTCACCTCATTACTAATAGATCCTGAATAGTTAGAGCAAAAGCATAGTAATTGTATTTATCGGGTAATAAAACTAAGGTTGTAAGTGTTATGTGTAAATTTGGCAAAGCATATGCACATGTATATACAGTGGGCGCAGGTCAGAGTGGATAGGTAGCATATGCCCTTGCAATATGCCAATATCCAAAAGGAGTATTGCATACAGTGATGAACTCGGGTAGTAAGGTATTCATCTCTTTCCTGTGCATTCTGTCTATTCTGCATGTGTGCAAGCAATTGGTGTTTCTTAGATTGCTTTTTATCCGAACACAACAATTCAATTACAAGGTAATGGGGGTGGGAAGGACAGTGGCCATATCATGGATCATGCTGCATGTTACCCAAAACATCCATATTGTTTCTCATTTTTTTTTTTCAACTTAAATTTTCTCTTTTTTTTTTTTAATACAAATAAAATAAAATTAATGTATTATAAAATATATATATATTATTAAAAACTTCTAATTAAAATCTTGTAAATCAAACATTCATATTGCTATTTCTTTTTTGATTTTTTAAAGTAGATTTATATGAGTTAATATCCAATTTAGTCATTGACTATAGTGATTTTTCTCGATTTAGTTCTACATGACCTTTTATGCTTAATTAGGTTCTCAGTTTTTTTGTGCTTAATTAGGTCATGGGCTTTGACGGTTTTACCCAATTGAATCCTTGGCTATTAGAATTAAGGTCTAAATCAAGAAAATTCACTATAGTCGAAGATTAACTTGGGTAAAACTATTATAGTTGAGGATTAAATTGGGTATTGATAGAGGTGAAATTATCAAGCTATTTTAACAGATGACTCAATTGAGTAAAATCATCAAAGTCGAAGACCTAAATAACCAAAAAATGTTGTTTTGGACTAAATCGAGAAAAATTACTATAGTCGAGGACTAAGTTGGGTATTAGCTCATTTACATATACATAAAGTTATTACATTGGGTACATAAATCACTATATTACTGTTGGTTTATAGAATTACAATTGTAGGGACATGTTTTTAAATTTACTACTGCATATTCATAGAGTTATCATTGTAGGTCCATAATGTCACTATTGTAAGTTTATAAAATTATAATTACATGTTTATAAAGTTACTATTATATATTTATTAAGTTACTATTGTAGGTTCATAAAGTTACTACAGGTTAATTATGTCACTGTTACATATTCATAAATCAAAACTATAACTTCAACACAAATTATTAAAACTATACATTGAAAAATTGAAAAAAGATATTAATATAGGTGTTATTTAAAATATTTAAACACAATATTTTTATTAAGATGGGTTTTATATGTTGATTATATTTAAACAAAAAATAGAGAATAATATAGTTAAGTGACAATTGATTAATTGGTGTCATTTCTATAAATTTATACTCCGTTGTATCGTTTTTATTTATTTGAATGATGCCATATGGATCTTGATTGATTATATACTTTGATGGGACAGTAAGTTGGGCCATTTTTGCCAATTATGTTATTCAGTGCACATGAAATTGAATATACAGGGCACGCTCAAGTGAGAACGGTTGTTCAGGAAAGAAATTAGAATCATTTATAGTTGTTCACGTGTTTAAATTCACGAATCAGATGTAATTTTTTTTTAAAAAAAGGTGCAGTACGTGGTGTTTTTGTAAATAATTCAAACATTGGTGTAAGTAAAATGTGTTACAAGCGCAAGTAACTGATGTAAGTTTACAAGTTAAAAGTGCAAGTAAAATTACTTACAAGTGTAATTATTTCTACTTACAAGTGCAAGTAATTTACCTTGATAACATTCGTGCACTTAATGATAAAGTCTTTCACATAAGTGCACTTAATGATAACGTCTGGTGCAATTATTTATAACGTTAGGTGTATTTAATATTTTGATGCTCAGTGTACATTTTTCTTGTACTTGTAATATATATTTTACTTGCACTTGTAATACATTTTACTTGCACTTAAATTCATATAATCTGTTAATCTGTTATTTGCATTTTTAAATTTTCTTTATTTATTTTCATAAAAAACAAAAAATATTTTATTTTTCAATAAATTTATTAACATTTTATAAAAATGAGCTTACATATAAATTTTATATATATTTTGTTCCACATTACTTGTAAAATAAATAATAGTTTTAAGTGGCTTGTGCTATAGTTTTAGCTCACTAAATTTCAGGCTAGTCCTTTTGGGCCATTGAACTTATCCAACTAATGTTTTTATAGAACTAAAATTTGTTGATCCTAACCCTAAAATTTTCCTACTTATTGAGCTAAGGTTGACATCCTCACATCCATACGGATAACTCACAATGTATTTGGAAACTATTTTTCAAATACATTGTTAAACACTTTCAAATGTACAATTATAATTACATGAATCTCATTACAGTTTTTCATTAATTTTCAACCTTTTGACTCTAGAACAGATAAAATTTGTCTCATTTCATTATAATTATAATATAATAATTTTGAAGCAGATGATTGCTTAGATGTAGTTTGGGTGAGGAAGCCTGGTGATCACATGGATTCCCCTGCAGAGGCCCTGACAGCTTGGACCGTGGTCCATGATTCCCTTAGCTTCCTCTCTTAGGTCCTCTTCTCCAGATAAGGTAGTGACGCACTCTGTGTTTCTAATTTGTTTCCCTCCCATATCATCTTTTCTTTGTGTGAAGTGTGTGCGTTGTCACGATTTCCGTTTACCAATTTCCAACCAACCTTCCCCCTTTCAACCATATATCTATCCCTCAAATCCTCAATGCCCTCATTCATGACTTGTACATTCTAAATGAGTAGTCAATCCAGGATAATTAAAGAGTATTTCTTTATATGCTATTGTTTGACCTTAAAATTGATAATTAAAGAGTATTTCTTTATATGCTATTTATTTATGATTTTTTAAAAAGTGTCTTTTGTGTTAGATATAATCATGGATAGCATAGACTGAGTCAACTCGGGCTTTAAAAAAATTAGACATGAATCTGTATGTAGACTTTACTCAAGTCTGAAGTTACAATAGATCTGGTCTGGCCTTGCTTAAGTCTTTCAGTCGTTATACAACGGACCAATCTGTGGACTATGATTCAAAATGGTACCGCTTCTTTCAATGAAAAGAAATGATAGTCGTTACGTTCCACCAATCTTGTGTCTCCAACACACTCATATTTTTTTTTTTAATTTTTTAATTTTTAAATATATATAAAAACAAAAAAGCAAGTTTGTGGCTTCATTACCTCTCCAGCACATCATTGTTATGGCTCAAAACTTCAGAGCAGTTGTGTCATTTTCTTTCTGATGCCATTGTTGCAAGCCTAAAGCTTCATTGAGTGTGTATATATAAATGCAATTTCCTATTATTTAGGGTTTACAATCATGTACTTGGAACTAGAATGCATTCAGAAATCATTCTGAAACCAATGAGATGATTGTAATACATGAACAATATTGTATGTGTATATTGTCGAATGAATATGCAATTGTATTAGAATGGTACTTTAGTGATGTTGTAATGAAATTACAATGTGTATAAAATAAAACTAAATAGCAAGTCTCACATACTGAGTGTATGCAGTATATTGTCAAATGAAATTATAGTTGAATTAGAATGATACTTTTTTGGTGCTATAATGAAATTATAGTGTGTATAAAATGAAACTGAATAAAAGGGCTCACATATTGAGTGAATATTATTAAATGAAACTGTTGTTGAATTTGAATGATACTTTAGTGATGTTGTAATGAAACTACTGTGTGTATTGAATGAAATTGAATGATACACACAATTATTGAACTCTAGGTGCTTCTATCTGTCGATTGATCCATGGTCGATAAAACTCTAAAATACACTCAGTAAAATGAATATGGAAGGAGACTAATAAGAAAAACAAAGATGATTGCAGTAGCAATGACATCTCTCGTCTTTTTATTGCAGTATCTAGTGCTAGGAACAATAAAAAGATTACCTCTTCACACCATCAACAAGTTGAATTCCTTCAAAATCATTTCAAAGCATTGAAGGTGTAGGTTTTTTTTTTTTTTTTTTTTTTTTTTTTTTTTTTTTTTTTTTTTTAATGATGATATGTTTGATTGCATCAAGTAGACAAGTATTATAGAATTAATAATCTATAATATCTGGTATAATCTAAATAACATACATGATGCCTACTACTATGTAGTACGATGATATCTAAATTACTATTTCAAATGGGTGGTCATAGATTCGAACCTTGGTGGTGGGGGATTAAATTTTTTGGGCTGAAAATGTTTAAGAAAATATAAAACAGATACTACCTTATAAAGAATCATGAGTATTTCCAAAAAAAATGAAAAACATACATGATTGTAGTTATACAAAAAGACATTATATTGCCATCAATCGACAACATAGAAATTCCCTTTCTTTATGTTGTTCACTAACCTACGACAGTTGCATAAGGTTAGGTGTTTTGTTAAAAAAGACATAAATTCAAGTTCAGCTAAAAGCACAATTGAGTTTACACAGTCTAAATGAATCATTTACCATATGTCCATATCCTTAATATAAGGAAGTATCAAATGCTAGCTTAAGTTGAGATTTTATTTTGTTGCAGTTCACATGAAGGTGGTCCGGATGGGTTCTAATTTCTGAAATACGCAATTTGGTTTTCTCAGAATTGAACTAGATTGCAAAAGAGAACTAACATATGAGGCTAACTTTATTTAGTCTTTTATACATCCAAGAAGTTAAGGAAAGAAACAAAGACTGACGGTATGGGGTAAAAGCAAGGCACCATAGTTAGCAAAACATTGGTGCAGAGTTGGAAGACATGTATTTATGAAATTAGCCAAACCACTTCATATTCTGATGCAAGATAACATACCCCAATTTTGACTTACTGATCATATATTATGGGTTCTCTTACATCATAGACCATGTTGTCTGAATTGCCTCCCTTCTCGGGAATGTCAATTAGTGAGTTATTATACTATACACCATAATTTATGTTAAAATTAATATATAAAAAATATATC